CGCTTCACTCGAAGAATGGTTACAACAAGACGACCCATTGGAAGGCGAGGAGTCGCTCCGCATAACACAGGAAAAGGCCCAGGACGAGGCACAACGCCGGTTGCGAATTGTTGAAGCTGCCGAACACGGAGTACTGAGTCAAGAACGATGCAGTGTCTACGCTCCTGAAGCTGCGCCAGAACCGCCAGCTCAATACGGTCATTGGGACCATGTGGTTGCACATGCTTTGCACTTTAATAAGCTGCTCAAAGAAGAAAAGGCGTTTCATCGCCGGACGGCAAAGATTCTGGCTAGAGAAGCCTACGAATTTTGGAAAAATAAGTTCAAGCGGAAGAGTCAGGATGAAATTGAACAGGAAGAGACGGAGCGGCAGGTGGCTAGATACAAACAGGTGGTCAAAGATGTCAAAGACGCGTGGGGCCTGGTCAAGGTTGAAATTGACAAGGAGCGTGTGGCTAAGTACGAGGAGGAACAGCTACAGCTTGGACACAAGGCCATGGACGACATGTTCAATCAGGCACAGGAGATTCTTGGAGGTCGCACCGCTGGTGATGGTGCATCCTCGCTGATGAGCGAAGATCGAGATTTCGACGACACGGAGGACTTCGAGAGTGCGGTCTCAAATACATCTGAACAACAGCTTGATGACGATGTCATGTCTTCAAGTTCGGATAGTGAACCGGAAAACGAGCAGGACGATGATGCGAATCTTACCGCTGAACAGCTACGCGAAAAGTATGGCCAACTCCCTGATTTACCGGCGACTAGTTCCGAGGATGAGGATGATTACGGAGATGAAGAGGAGGAAGAGGGCACGCCTGCACCGACCCCTGACCCAGATATCGAAACTGAAGATCTTGACGACCCCCCGGAAACGCTTGCGAACGGATTCCATGACCATGAAGAGAATGAGGATGAGAAGAAGCCAGGTTACATTGACCCGGCTACTGTAGAACTCGATCAGGTTGACGACGCCCTCATGGATTCGGAAAACGATGACAAAAGCTCGGAATCCGGTAGTGAAGCTTGGTCAAGCAATGAAGGATCTGGGACTGAAGACGACGGGGATGACGCCGACGACTCGGAGGCAGAAGACGATGACAACAGTGGAGAAGAAGACATTGGCTTGATGGGTTTCTTGGCACCCAAGGATGTGAAGAAGTTGAAAGAAGCTGCAAAAACCGCAATCGAGGACAATGAGCCGGAGAGCGAGGAACAAACGGCAGAGCAGGTTAATGGCCACGCCGACACTTCCATGAAAGACGAGGAGGAGAAACCTCATGTCAATGGACATGGTGCGGTTGCCATAAATAATGAACCGTGTGTGAACGGAAATGCGGCACCATCAGAGCCTGCACCTTCCATTGAGGTCGCCGAACCTCAACAATCGGTCAAACCCACCGAGACTACTCCAATGGAAGATGTTGTACAGTCTAAAAATGTTTCTCGGTCTCGTCACGCATCCTCGCCCCCGAGGACCGAGGTCCCGTTTCTGTTACGAGGCACACTCCGAGAGTATCAGCACGACGGACTGGACTGGCTTGCGAATTTGTACGAGTCCGACACCAACGGTATCCTAGCAGACGAAATGGGTCTTGGCAAGACTATACAGACCATCTCACTTTTGGCCTACCTTGCTGTCCGCCACGAGATCTGGGGGCCGCACTTGGTTGTGGTACCCACGAGTGTCATGCTCAACTGGGAAATGGAGTTTCGGAAATTTTTGCCTGGTTTCAAGATCCTCACTTACTACGGCGATATCAACGAGCGGAAACGGAAGCGATTGGGATGGCGCAACACAGGCAAGGACATGTACAACGTGGTCATTACCTCGTACCAACTCATACTCCAAGATGCTGCGGCTTTCAAGATGCGTCCTTGGCGTTACCTCGTGCTCGATGAAGCCCATAATATCAAGAACTTCAAGTCTCAGCGTTGGCAGACTATGCTCAATCTTCGCACTGAGCGAAGACTGCTGTTGACAGGAACGCCTCTTCAGAATAATATTGATGAGCTTTGGTCGCTGCTGTACTTCCTGATGCCGGCTGGCTTTGCTGGAGAAGGGCGCATTGCTGGTTTGGAGGAATTCACACTTGCCCTGAAGAACCCTACATCTCAAATCTTGGATCAGGGCCGTCAACAGCTTGATGCAGAAGCACAGAAGATTGTCAAGCGACTTCACGAGGTCCTCAGGCCGTATCTGCTCCGAAGACTAAAGTCTGAAGTCGAAAAGCAGATGCCAGGGAAATATGAGCATGTAGTCTACTGCAAGCTCTCCAAACGGCAACGTCAGCTCTACGATGGGTTCATGGGCCGCGCATCGACAAAGGAGATCTTGTCGTCGGGCAACTACATGTCCATTATCAACTGCTTAATGTCATTGCGAAAGGTCTGCAATCATCCTGATTTGTTTGAAACGCGAGCCATTGTCACATCCATGGCAATGCCAAAATCCGTTGCCGCGCAGTACGAGATCAAAGACCTTCTTATTCGCAAGCGTTTGCAAGAAGGCATGGAAGATAAAAAAGTAAGTTTGGATGCTCTGAATCTCAATTTTGCGCGACGGGAGCAGACACAGTTGGGACATGCTCGACGTACTTATCCAATCCGTGCCACCCGGCCTTTGGAAGACCTGATTGAGCGTCAAACTCGACGCATCAATAAACCTGTCGAGGCGGGTACGTCTCCACTGCAATCGGCAATGGCGGCAATGGCCAAGCGAGAGCAGGTGGCTGTCCGAGACCATCTGCAGACATGTGTAGCTCTCACACGCGCTCGTACCCAGTTCATGCCGATATACGGAAAGGACATTATCGATGCAGTGACGGTCGACTGGCACGAGCATACTTTTGGTGCCATAACCGAAGGCAAGAAGGTACCCAGACCACCACTTTACCGATCACACCACCCTCCTCATGCGACGTATCATGGCTTTGGCCAGGCGCATCTGCAGCCAAGGCCAGAGGATGCGATACAGTACGATATTGTTCAGCGACATCATGGTCGTCTCGGATTCAGGTCTCCACGCTCTCAAAGAGTAATATCACAATGGCACGATCAACAAATCACACACTTCTTCGACATGATTCCGACATTGGAGCAACGCGCTGAAGCCTTTGAGCCCCTAATCACGCGCTTCACATGTGTCACACCCGCTGTTGCCGCCGAGGAGCTTGCTCCACTAACCTTATCAAAATGTGGTGTTGACCTCATCCGAGCCTCAGACGCAGCTCACCAACCGGATCCCTTCCACTCATCGCGCATCCGGCAGTCCATTGCATTTCCTGATAAACGCCTGCTTCAGTACGATTGCGGAAAGCTGCAACGTCTTGCAACACTCCTCCGGGACCTGCAAGCTGGTGGTCACCGTGCTCTTATCTTCACTCAAATGACAAAGGTCCTTGATATCCTGGAGCAGTTCCTCAACATCCACGGGCATCGCTACTTGCGTCTCGATGGGTCTACAAAAATTGAACAGCGCCAGATCCTTACCGATCGCTTCAACAATGACCCCCGCATCTTGTGCTTTATCCTATCCTCACGATCCGGTGGTCTCGGTATCAATCTTACTGGTGCTGACACTGTCATCTTCTACGACCTCGATTGGAACCCAGCAATGGACAAGCAATGTCAAGATCGTGCTCATCGAATTGGTCAGACGCGCGATGTCCACATCTACAAGTTCGTGAGCGAGTACACGATCGAAGCCAACATACTTCGCAAGTCTAATCAAAAGCGTCTCCTCGATGATGTCATCATACAAAAGGGTGATTTTACCACTGATACATTCAACAAAGTCACCTGGCGAGACGCTTTGGACGAGGACATGGGTATCGATACGACCGACGAAGCTGGGGCAGCCATGGAACGTGTGCTTGGCGAGAAGATTGGCCTCTTGGGTGACGCACGTGTCATGGGCAATGTTGAAGACACGGAAGATCGTACTGCGGCATCTATTGCGCAAAAAGAAATCGTCGATGAGATTCAAGAAGACAAAGTCGACTTCAACGAAAGCGTCAACGCAACACGAGCTGCTTCAGAAGCTGCTGCCGCCTCCACCTCCAAAGACGATGAAGAGTTGGATATACATGGCAATGAGAAACTCAAGAGACATGTTGACGAGTATATGTTGAGCTTGTATCGCGAGGAATTTGGCAAAGAGCCGTATCGGCCGCCAACGGATCGGCAAAAGAGAAACCGCAAGGGGCAGGATCCGCATGTTAGGCAGCGCAAAAAGAAATATTAAGCTCAAATAATTTATGTATGAATGGTAATTTTTGTTATCTCTTTTTCAAAAGGAACAATGTAGTAAAAGAGAGTTCTTCTTGCATTTGTACGTTATGTGAAGGTATCATGTGTACATTAGACATATTAATATAAGTAAGGATGCGACGTGAAATACTATCAGTTGTATATGAGCGCGCTTGTATACTCTTGGGGCAGTGTTGTTGTGTGAATCTTACATCTGTCTTGTAGCAAGATATAACATATAATCCTGACGAGCCATATTTATAGTACCAGAACTGCATCACTTACCAAATCAAGACACTCAATTTAATAGAAATAGAAATGTTTCAGTGAGGGATATGTTCTGGAAGGAGAAAAAGCCTAGAAAGGAAGTTTTCGAGAAAGGGAGAAGACCAAATGTCCGTGCATACGATATTTTGCCTACTCAATAAGGAATAGTCTATGAAGTGGCTAACAGTAACCGGATACGTTCAGCCAAGACCTTGTGAATAAGCAAGACAACACCAGCAACTTGCCGAATTGGCTTGATCGCGTGAATAAGGTATGATGAAGGCCGAAGAAAATCATCTAATGAGAAAGATACGAATACTGTCTTCCACAGCGATGAACTCTTCGACGGGGTAATCACTCTCATCAGCCAACTAGTATAATACATGAGAGTAATCCCCAACTGTGTATCATACCATCTCTAAGCTCATTCTTCAAGCACTACGTCCTCGAAACATCGTCGCAGTTCAACTTACTCAATCACAATGCACTTTCGCTACCTTCTTGCAGCTCTCGCAGCAACAGCATCTGCCTCCTTCACCAACAAATGCCAATCGTGCAATCTCATCATCAACAAGGCCGAAGCCGGTGTCATGGGATGCGATTGCTTCAACGACTCTAATCAGCTCGTCGGTTCGATTCTTCGGCTGTCAACGTGTTTTGCGAATGCAAACGGGAAATTGATTCCGCAGGCAAAGTAGGTTTCGCATTTTGCTTCCTTTTTGCTTTTACTCGTCATCTTGCTAACCCGTGCGAAACATTGTAGTGGTAACTTTGTCAAAAGTTGCTCGGTTGAGGGTCTATTTCCCTCGTCGCAGCGTTCGTTGTTCTTGTCTGTTAAGTGCAAGGACAACAGTGGAAATGAGCAGAGTGGATCGTTCGATATTAGTAAGTGAACGGCGTGCCTACTCCTTGACTGACTCGACCCATTTACTTACTATTTTTGGTAGATGCTGGTAGCACTATTACAAGCGTGAACGGGGTTATGAAGTGCTTCGGGCAAGGCGGCCCAAACTAGAGAACGTGGAGAGACTAGAGGAAACAAGTGGATATTTGGTTCCGAGGATAGTATGGATAGTCATGCGACCGAACGGTGTTAAATACAAGACTATTTCTTAGACTCCGCATTGCGATCGGCAGTATACAATCGGTCAAATACACTAGTAGCAGAGATTTTGAGACCGCTTGCAACTAAATAAGAATACGAAAGGACGTAGAACCATTCAAAATACCATAAAAAGGTCGGACATTCTTTTTAGGTAATAGTTCGGTGATGGATACGGACAGTTAGTAACAAGATAGAAGATGGCCAAATAGTCTGTATTCACGATATGTAAACTGCTACTAAGAGGAGGTGCCGTTTGAAAAGCTTATATCCATTGGTCATGAGTACATATTTGGCTAAAGAGGGCCAAAAGGTAGGTGTTGGGGGCCAAAGAATGCTGAGCTTGATCAAGTTAGGCGTGCTTCCCTTATCGATGCTTCAGTAGCGTAAGATTTTGTTTGGGACACACTAGAGGATTTTTATCTTTGTTGGCTGCGCTGGACGCCTAATTTCTAGCTGAATTGTGGAGTCCAAATATTCAAACTTCGTGGATTCAAGTCCGTATATGCACAATGCTCAAGGCACCTGCATAACCGAGATTCGTTGAACACATTGTGGCGCTCTGCTGCTCCAGTTGTTGCAGCGTTGTCGTTCTGTGGCTTATCATTCTTTCATGGTGCTAGTCCCCGTTTTGCTGTCCCCTGATACCAAAATTAACTTAGTTCAGCCACGGCCTCCTAGTACGCATCATGATGAACTGAAAGAGTTAGACTCTGAAATGCAATTGGAGTTACCAGGTACTGACTGAAGTATGCCCTGCTGCTATGTATATAACATGGCACGACTTGTGCAAGTGTTTTACATTCCAGCTGCATCAAATTGTATTCAGATACAACTGGGATAAGGTCGTTCGCTATGTCTTCTACTCTTTTCTCAGCCTCGGTACTGGCCTTGCGTGCATCATCACTCATCTGCCCATCGTTACCGACCTGCCCAGACGATAACGAATGTACATTCAGTTCCAATGGAGCCGATTTCAAGTCAGTTGTGCAACGGACTTCTACGGAGGCGACATGGGACGAGCATACGTAGGTGACACACTTATAGAATCTCGCAGTAAGATATTAATTTTGATAGGCCGCGACGGTTGCCGAATGCATGAAGATCTGTGCGTCTACAGATGAATGCGTTGCTTTGAGTTATGTGGGCACGGACTGCTACCTGAAAAACACACTCAACGCTGGCTCAGCCAAGTAAATAGTCTCTGAAGATAACAAAATTCTGATACTGACCTACCATATAGTACGGGAGTGATGGGCGCGAATATCATCTCTCGTGTCACTCCAACTGCTCCCTCGAGCTCATCAGCGGGGCCGCAACAGCCCTGTCCAGCTTCCATTAACTGCCCTGACAACAATGGCTGTCTCAATTCTGATAGCACCAGCGGCCGTTCTTTTACCTTGAGTTGCGGTGTCGATTTCTTTGGTGGCGATCTCGAGATGCAGTGGGCTGATGGACTAGAAGCCTGCTCAGCCGCATGCGCGGTTAATCCTGAATGTGTTGCAGCATCATTCGTCGGTAATAGTGGCAGCAGCGGACCATGCTATCTCAAGAGCAAAAACCTAGGACAGATCCTAGATTCTCGCGTGAACGGTAAGTATTAACTCGGACAAAGATTTAATATAACAGCGAATAGCTGATGTGCGCACAGGGTTTTCAGCCAATCCGCCATCCGCATCTGTACCTGCAACACCATCTCCTACTCCGGCCAGTCCCGTTGCGGGGGGTATCTCTGAATCGCTCAATACACTTGAAGGGGTTCAATTCTGTGCCTCATATATCAGTTATAGTCCACCAGTAGAAACATTGCGCACAGCCGTTACCATCTCGACTGTCACGGGCACTACAACCACCGACCAAGTCACATCTACACCTCCTGCCGTCAAATTAGTTGAGACCGTAGTAGTTTCTAAAGAAACAACCGTTGTGGCAAGTACAGAAACTGCATTTACAACCACAACGGTGCAGGGTAACCTAGAGAAGAGGTTGCAAGCAACGCCAGCAGCAGCACTCGAAACACCGTCAGTCTTTCAGGGTTGGTCATCCCAAGATATTTCTGCAACATGCAGCAAGGTCGCTACCTTTACTTCGACTACTACTCTCACCACAGCCACCGAGACCGTGTACACAGCAACGGAAACAAGCTCTACAAAGACAACTATTGTTGCTCTGGCCCCTACGATCACTACGGCCACAACCTCGCCACTCATACGCACAATCAGCGTGACCTCTACTACTTTGGCCACTGTGACCTCTCGGATCCCGATTGTTGAGCAATCTCCATGTTCCAGCCGCTCTGTACGTCTCTGCTGCCAAGGCGTTGCGGCATGGTCAACAAATTCCGGAGCGTGGGGCGGCGTCTGCGGATATACACCATCAGATCCCAGTGAACTTATTGGTGCAAGATGCGTCACACGGCCAGCGTCGGGAGTGTGTCCAAGTGGTTCCTCGCCAGCATGCTGCAGGGGGACCATTCCCGGGCCATGCTACCTAGGCACACAGTGTGCGAGAGGGTAGTGTTCGAGTCACACTGTAAAGCAAATCCCATGGTATTCTGTGACAAGGTCCGACTAGTTCTGAGCTTGGAGCATACACTTGCACACAAACACAACAATGGCATAAGAGTTTGAGTCTAGAAGTCCGTCTACGAATAGAGTTAATTTCTATCGATCTACAAACACCCAATGCAACCAAGGTAAATCTAACGTTAGATCCATCAGGCATTGAGGATAGGGTCAGTTACTGGATCCACAATTCCCTCCGTATCGTCGTCCGATACCGATGTATACCCCGATCCGAGACCAATGGGCTGCATCTGGATATTTCTTTCCTCGACCAAGCCAATCCGCCATCGCATCACCTCATCGGGATCTCTGAACCAGCCAACTCATATGAAAATCTTGTCCTTGATTAAGTCATTCATGCCTTGCCTTCTAATTATTTCGAGTAGACGCTCGCTACCAGCGATGGGAATAAGTACGTCAGCAATGCATTCCACATTCCGCATCATGCCGGCGTGGTATTTCCTCTGTACGGATGCGACGATGACGATGGTGATGGTCAGCCAGATTAAGATGCTTGTGGCGAGCCAGAAGGCGACTGGGTTCATTGTGAGCACTTCAACCCAGGTGGTTATTGTCACTGCCTTTGTGGCGCTAGTGCTGCAGACGATGTCTTCAAATTTTGGGGCCACAGAGCCGTCAGGTATATATTGAGACGGCATGTTGCGCATCTGAGGGTTAACCTTGAGTTCCATGCCCTGGGTTGATAAACGTTGCCACTGTGTTCGAGAGACAGGTTGTTGCCTACAAAGTGCTGGAAGAAGGTTGAATCACCATAATATTTAACAGCTCGGCAATAAGTCCTTCGATCTACTAACTGACATCACGAGGTGAAAGCTACCATCGCTTTAATGATAAGCTCCGAGCTAGCACTGAAGCAGGACGTTTACTGCCAAGCACTGAAGAAACCTCGCTCGCGGTGCGGCTACTATAAGTGGGTGCCGGCGAGTAGTTCTCGGCTTTGGCCACCAAAGGTAATGAACTTACAGGGAACAAAATCGGGAAAAATCGCAGAGGAACAGCCCTCCGTTTTTCAATCCGATTCAGGGAAACTTAGTTGCGACGCTAGCTAGCACTTCCCTATCGACGCTCTATACCCAAAACGGCTACAAAACGGAGATGCAAAACGGAAAACAGATCAGGCACTATAGTTGTCGCGTGACTATCATATTGTTGCTTATAGTTTAGCCCCATGTGATAAACATAGAAGAGTCCGCCATAGTTTCACATGTTTCCATTGCAAATATGCGTTGTTAACCGGCCCTAGGTCATTCTACGGCCCTATACCGTCCTAATGCAGACCCATGTCACTATTCGACCCTGGGTTGTTTTGCGGCCCTATGCCGTTCCGGCGTGACCTTTTGTTACTGCCAGTCTACAAACAAAGGATGGTATAGTTGTGTTAATGCTAACTGCAGTTAGGTATATAAATCCATTGACCGCTCGAAGTTTTACGTGATACCAGAGGATCACTCAACATATACCCCCAAACAGATCATCATCAAGATCCATCTCGTGCACCTAGACGTAAGATGCTCTCTTGTCTCTTTTTCCCACTCCCCATACTTCCTACTATTCATACTAGTTTGTACTCATTTATGCTTACTCCTTTAATATAGGGGAAATAATGCAAGCCCTACCCAGATCATGGTCAAAACACCTCAACTATTCACGACGCGAAGAAAGCCCTGAAGAGGAAAAACTTGTTGATAGATCTAGCCAGTCGTCTGGCCGGCTTATCTACGCGAAGAAATCAGCATCCAAGAAGCAATTGATAAAATCGATAGCTGTTTTCTTACTCAAAGGATCCATCGTTGCCCTAGCGATATATGGTGCTGTAAATCTCGGGCATCGTATTAAAGTAAATGTTGCTCTCGCAAGACACGAAAACAGATGCGAATGTGGTCGGAACGTCGGGGAGGCGGTTGCCAAAGGCTGCAAGTACGACGAGTTAGCATCCGCATGGCTGCCACCCCACTGTCGCGACGAAGAATTGAGTACAGAGTTCAGTAACGTAGGACCAGAAACTGGTGGGCATTGGGGTTACTGGTTAGATCAGAATGGGACAAGGCCTGTAACTCCACACGAACTGGGTTTTATCGCCGATACAGACGACGTTTATTGGACGACAACTCAGTGGCATATCGTGCACTGCGTATATTACTCATTAAAGCAGTTTCGATCAAAGACAAGTGGCGTAGTAATCGAGGAAAGATATGACAACGAAGGCCATATCCGTCATTGTGGCATGGTGATGTTGAAGTATATGCTCCCACCGAAGATAAGTACCTTTCAGAGTGCTGCACTCACTAGCGAGCTTTTCACTGAGCAAGATGACGCTCATCCTTAGCTGTTTGTATGAAACATCAGTATAATTCTATATCACACGAAGTAAATAAAGTTTTTTCATCATCCTCGCTGCGCATGTCTTGTTCACTAAAGCTGGTGGTAAATGGTTCGAATTCGATGTATAAAAACCGAGCCGGTTCTATCGTAACAAAGTGTACATTCTTATTGTACATACTACTTCAGAAGCAATCCAGAGATAGTCATGTATCATGATTTCGTATCATGATCAGGGTAATCGTCTCAATGCTATCATAAGAACATTTAGATAAATCGTAGCCTTGACAATTATATGGTTTCTGATAAAATCACATCCATCTTGGAATTGGCATACACGATTTTCTTCTTATCTGAGATCATGCCATGGTCATTCAGATGTAAGTCCCTGTTGCAGACCAAGCTCCATCGAAAACATGAACATTATTAGTAAATATGCCATACCATGAGCAAAATTCAATTCTAGTCGGGACGCCACAAATTTTAGAAAATATGCTCTCTTCTGATTTAGTGTGTCCGTAATGCCCCATTCAACCGTGTGATAATTCCTGAAATTCTGATTCCTAGGCTGGCAAACCCTGATTGTTCTATAGCAACACCTTATTACGTACCAATGAAGTCTCGAACAGTTTTCTATGTATTTAATTGGGTATAAAACCTCACTTATAAGGTCCTAGTTGATATGTGCTGGCATTGCAGCCTCAGGAGATAGCCCTACTGATAGTGAAACTTCCAAAAAATCGATTTGCAATTTAAATTAATGCAGTAGTGGAAGTATGTATGACGAATGCCTTCGCTATAACCGAAATTTCCATGAAAACCTGTGCTCCTCTTAGTGACGCTCTTCGGAAGCAGACATACCGAGTTGGCATTCAATTGTGTAAGTCAGCTAATATGTTTGTTGAGTTAGAAGGTGATATCTGCTTGTGATGCAGATTTGGAAGAAGAACATTTAAAAGCTGATCCCATGAGGAGAGCCCTTCAGGAGATAATTTATTTGTGTAGCTACTCAACCGTGTAGCAGAATGATTTGTTACCGCAGTATGTACTAAATACTACTGCGATACTCAACAGCTAGTCACTTCAATCTCTATTGCCTGATTGGCTATCTTATCTTCTTTCATGTTCCATGTGCCGTTGAGCCCTTTCCATATTGCATGGAAGCAATGTTCGGCATGACCGTAGGTATCTATAGCCCGACGTGGCGCTTCACCAAACGCAACACGTGAGACATGAAGAAACAAGAACATGCAGTGGGCGAGGTGCTCCTCTACAGAAGACCAGACTTGCATTTCCCAACGATTGCCAAAATCCTCTTCACTGGGAATCCGATTTCTCGCAAGTGATGAGCCTTCCGACATCTCTGTGAAGAATGGCCACGGGCCCAAATGCCTTAGCGGGTCTGAGAGCCATGACCGAAATTCATCGGAAGTCGCGGTATCCTTGCAACGAGTTGGCATCCATGCGTAGCTCAATACATCAAATTCACATCCGTTGGCCTCAAAATCAGCCAAGCTAGCGCCGCATTCTGTGTGGCTTTTGTCTTCCTTTGGTGGTATTTGACCCTCGTAAACCAGAACCACAACGCCAGTAATGAGAAAAAATGCCAAGAAAATGCTGATCATAACGCATCCAGTCGATCGATTGAAGGGGGACCGTCTTCTTCTTCCAGAAAGCTCTTCGTCAGAGGCAACCGGAGCATATTGATGGTCTTTTTCAAGCTCAATCATGGCTATAATCTGTCTACCGCCAATGGTTATCAGTACACTGACATTAGATTCAATCGCTGGGAAGAATATCTTACATGGATCTGTTTTGCAGCCTTATAATGTAGATTAGATGCTACTTGAACGTACACGGTATTTAATATACGTTTCTATTGACCTTGGTATATGCGCTGACAATAGCGTTGTGAAATACATATACCCCGAAAAGATATGTGACTTTAAGGAAACCCAAGCGAAACACTCTTTGAATATACATGTTCTGGTTGGGAAAATTCCTAGCCTCGTTTTATGTTATCTCTCTCGGCTAAGGTTCTCTTGCCTCGCTGAGAGAGGTCTTCAAAACAAGCTGATCATCGGCGGCATGTCGGTAACATAATGAACACACTACGTTGAGGCATCATGTATCGAAAACAATATCCGGCCGGGAATTAAACAACGGGCTTTCGGCATGTTGCCGGTATTAGGTTGCCAGAGAGGCCTAGATAGAAGATGACGCGTGACAGAGACATCAGCTGACTAGCAGAAACCCAACCTCAATCCAATAGTGCGACTGCGGGGCCTCACCAAATTAGAGGATACACTCGACTCAAACCAACTGTTTATTCCTGGCAAAGATATTGCAATACCAATGAGTTGTCTATGGTTCATGTAAAGATCGTATTGGGATACATAGTTAGCTAGCCATAACTTAGTGCTTACGACCTATGTCTCATGCGCATGAGAAGCTTTCACATACAAACGAAACTGGAAATCCAAACATCCATCGCCCGGACCCCCTTCTGACCTCCCGGCGTATACTGTAAGCTTGCATGGCACGCCTCTCGTAGAGCGAGAATTAACCCTCTCTCCCTTTCACCATTGACGTGGGTTTCTACTTCCTCCTGAAAAGAGGCAGAGAGACAAGTTGAAACCTCCCATTGTCCGTCAAGCAATCCATCTTTTGCTTGCACACGGGTCTCACTTTCCAGCTTCCATCCGGCAGCTAGCGCCAGGTCGGTAAGACGCTTTGGTCCTACCACAGTACGAATGTTGGAATCGCTCTTAGGTTTGTGACATTCTAGTGCTGCTTGGGCGAGCGCAGCGAGTACATGAGGTTGTGCAGAGGGGTCAGTCGCCACTAAAGACCATTCAGCAAGGAGGAGGCGCTTGCTGTGGTCCCTGATAGCACGCAAAGTTGATTGAATAATGGAAGGGGAAGAAAAGTACCAAGTACAATGGGCGAGTACAGTGGCATCAAAGGTTTTGGTGTCGTTAGCGGACTGCGAAGAAGTAGAAGAAGAAGGGGAGGATAAAGAGGAGAGATAATCCAAGGGGGATTGCTGCACCCAGGTAATTCTTGTACCTAGAGGACTTTGTGATATGTGTGTTTGTGCTTGGCCAAGACTATATGGAGCGCCTGAAAGAGAATCAACTCACGGCCTTCTGCCCATGCTAACATGGCGGGTAGGGGGAAAAGTGGAGAGACGTACCATAATTCAAGTCAGCCGGATCGACAGCCACAACGCTCCCCTCTTTGCCCACAGCATGGGCAAGGACAGTTGTACAGTCTCCTTGCCCGCACCCTAACTCCAATATCTTTGAGCCAGCAGGTATGTTCCAGTTCTGTAGAAGCACTAAGCGATGACTTGTTTGAGAGAGCTGGACGTTAAAGTCTGAGGGGTCGTGCAGGGAGATGCGGGCGAGAGATTCGGCGTCAAATTGAGTAGACATAGTGGTTGTTGGGTGGTGCGATAGCAGCAGCAGCAGTAGAGGATTTAATATAGTCTGTACTTGGCGCTAGCACACAGGATGTAGATCACTGCCAAAAACGAGAACAACGTCGCTTAGCGCATGTACTGAGGCACGATCAGTCGAGCACACGCCCAATTTATATCCTTCGCGCCAGATATTTAGACAATAAGCACCTAGATGTTGAGGGTACATGGGACAGAGATTTTTTCATATTAGGCTCAAAACGAAAATGATCCAAATGCACATAACATCCTTTGACTTTTCACTTCTGCCTCCTCAACAACTCAAACCCAAATCTCGGTACCATCTCAACCTGCAGAAAATCTACATGACATGCTACACGTTGGCACCTCATTTCTACTACTAAATTTTCTGCTTCTCTAGGACAAGCAAACTCCACAGTTGTGCTGTTTGGCCTGGCAGTAAGGTCTAGTACACCGAGCAGCTCCCCACGTACTGGGAGTGTCGAGTACGACAAGGTGTCATAGTTGATGTCATCTATGTCGGAATATCCACTTGCTGATGTTGCAATGAGTTTCCAGACCTCGATTTCTGTTATTTCTCCCTTAGTTGTCAAGTCTTTGATGCGTGCAGAGGACTCGGGAGGCGGCTTCCAGAAAAGGGCGCACATATCGGTGCCGTGAGAGGGAATAGGAAAGCGCATAACTGTCGAGTCCTTCATTTCCGTCAGTAGCTGACCTGAAATCAGGAGATAATAGAGTGAAAAGAGAATTTCTAGATAGTCACCTCAACAGTAATGTAGATCTGCACACCTTGACCCCACACTGCATACTTCAACTTTCGGCTAACCCGTGCGATTCTGTCCGGCCAAGTTTTATCATACACCTGAAGAGGCCGTGTAATTTGTGCTACCCTGTCCAATCCTATCCGTTCATCGCCATAGGGCAGTGCTTTGATCTCGGCATCGGTGAGGGGATATGCTAAATACTGTGACAGTGTGGCAGGAAGAAGAGCAATATTCACAGCTGATAGCAGGGCCAGGGCCAAAGAAAAGTATATGACAACCAAAGGTAGTTTTGACGGATTGGGCGGTGTCTGGGATGAATTGTTGTTCTCCTTTTCCAGCAACTGGATGGAGTCTTGGGGCTCTGATGAGCTTCTGTCCTCAAAGTCATCCTTGTATTGCGCAACAGCAGTATAATCGGGTGGAATGGACTTCGGTTTGAAGAAGAGCATTATGGGATACAGTTAAAAAACAGGGTAAGAAGTAACAACAGAGAGGGTGGGGGCGAAGCGCATTGTGAGCGAAGGAAAGATCAAAAACAGGCAGGGCATGCTTTTCTGCTAACTACGCTTGTGGACACAGTGTCATCTTTTAGTCATTGCATAAAGATAAGATTTGAGTGTGAATTAACGCCTTTCACATGCAAAAGAATATACCGGGGCTGCGGTCGAAGCAACCAATGCTCGATTAGACAGTTTTCCATACCTAAAGCGGCCGTATACGATCGTACCATTCGATAGCTCTTCTATTGCTCTAATATTACGGGCTTTCTTCGAGCTCATCTCGGTTTTTGATGTCAAGCTATCCAGCGCTGAAGTTTCCTGTCCGGTGCTAGACTGTTATGTACTGTAGTTTAAGGGTTTTTGCTGAGCCCCACAGTAAGCAGCGAGAAAGGTAAGTAGGCTCCGTAGGGCGAGTAGCAGCAAAACGCTAATAAACCTAGACTGGAATATTCCTCAAGTATACTGCGGGAGAAAAGGTTTATTGCACGTGGCTGGAATCCTTTCCAGTCCCCGGTTTGTATTTTCGGATATGGTAGGGTGCAGTAGACAATACCTGATTCGTGAGAAGGTAACGCTCTTGCCAGTGTGTGTGGTAGACGGGCCGAATCCCTTGTATCCACAGGACTGCCGAAGGCTCATCCCGTCAGATCCTGGTGGGTTCGATAGTTTAGCCAACAGGGGACTTTGGAAAGATACTGACCGATCCCATGTGTCTGTCTCGCAGATTGGAAAAATTTACCTTGGTCTGATGATGAGCTTTTGTGCCAAGATCTGCATCCGCTGTTTTCTCGGACAATTTTGCTGCAATACCACGGCATTATTATAATCCTTGAAACGTTGTCGAATAGACTTTTGTGCCAAATTTCATCGGTGAGCATCAGGCCCTATTGTACAGACTTCTCGGATAACCTTCAACACTAGGCTTGTCGGCTATCTCGCTTAGATAAATCTCTCAAGAAAATCCACCGCTTTGAGACCGTTTTAGATGCTGCTGATACCATGATAACGGTATTGGTGATGAAGGCAGACAATTCGACTAGATAAAGGACAGCTCATCAATCATGCATATTAGTAAAATCACTAAAGTTGCCAACTAGATCGACAATCGGATCTGCGAGGAGGCTAGACTACCAAACAGCGTCTGGATGATTTGAGCATACTTCACCCTGACCTCTCTCTCCAGCGAACTACGTTTAATTATCATTAGTCATCTCAATGTTGCTCACTGTGTTTCCTTTGTTTTTCTCTATCAGTATCAACATTGTATCTGCCGCACATGCTGGCTTTTACGTCCAGTATCCATGGGCGTCTCGCCGTCCGTATCCTGAGACCCGATCTGGACTGGAAGATTTCAAGACTTTCTGCGGTATGTCTCCGTATGCCCCTACTTCAATGGTAGCCATTTTGCTTAATATAGAGAAGGTGATATCATACGCAACCCTCAGCAGTACCCCGCTCGATCGCGGGGTTTTCTCTCATTCTCTGGTCATCCCGGGGACCTTGTCACTGCTCTCTATACTACGAAAAGAGTACCAAAGAGGAGAGATGATTTCATGCAAGTTATCTTTCAGGATGTGCCTATCTGGCTCTCCGGGCAGTTATGTGTGAATGTTACGATACCGTTTCAGACTATTCTCAACGAGATAGGAGTTATGTATCTTGAGGGGCGGGACCCAAAAACGGGAAACGTAAAATACTCTGTAAGTTAAATCCATACTTCAATTACTATGACAAGAAGTTTTAATTCGGATATAGTGCATAGATGTCCAGATGATGGATATAGAAGCTCTTCCTGAGGAGCATCCAGCTATGTGCGCGGCTAACAATGAAACGCTTATCCCAATGCCTGATGAGTTTTTACGAATGTAGGCTGACGCTCATGGTGTTTTCCACATATCCAGTATTTGGATTACTCTTTGTATTTAGATCATGTAGAGGTTAAAGCTAGAAAACGAACCCTATCATCTTACGATGTCTTTACTACCAAAACCTATCGAAAAGAAAGACTGCCAAAATTAGTCGCCTCTTACGATATCCCGTAGCCACTCATTCAGCTTATCTCTCTTCTGTTTCATTTTTTCGTTGTATGTACTTAGAAGTGTCCCTTGACTAATTTTGAATTAGACCTCTTCCCAGGCTTGATTTGGCGGAAAAGCTATGAATGTACTAGGGGATAAATCCCGGCACGGAAAACAGCAACAGCCCCATTAACCAGCGGAGCGGCTATTACAGGAAACTAAGTACATCAGAAGAAGCTCCCATGGACAAGCGAAACTAGGTAGTTTTATAGCACTGTAATTCTTGGGCTTCACCCATCCGTATACCCCAAGGGAGGTTTCAGATATTCCATCAAATAGCCACTTATATGTATGCATACCGTATATCCAATAGAAAGATCACTAGTATGCTCCAAAGAATAAGTGCGCGTTTGATAGGAAATTGATTGAATGAGGGGACGACCTATATAACCTTGCAGCATTCTATATAACCCAAGACTAGATACAATCTAAATAATCAACAACTATCTATGGAATGCTGGATATTTACCCCCTGCAAATTCTTCCCGCTACATAAATGTTTCCATAGGTTCATGAGGTAAGAAACTTGAGGTATTTCAGTAGAACCATTATGTTGAATAATAGACCCATGACCTAACAGCAATAGTGCAAGTGAAGGAGTGCATGGCAGAAGTATTAGGTAGCTAGGCCCAGACATCTCTTGAAGTTCGAGCTTCAACCTTCAGTTTCGATCCTATAGACAACCAAAAGCAGTGTTGGAAGTCTTGTTTATTGGATCTATTTTTGCTTTT